GTAATCCCAGCACTTTGGGAGGCCGAGGTGGACGGATCATGAGGTCAGGAGAACGAGACCATCTTGACTAACACGGTGAAACCCCATCTCTACTAAAAATACAAAAAATTAGCCAGGCGTGGTGGCGGGCACCTGGAGTCCCAAGCTACTCGGGAGGCTGAGGCAGGAGAATAGCGTAAACCCGGGAGGTGGAGCTTGCAGTGAGCCGAGATCACGCCACTGCACTCCAGCCTGGGCGGCAGAGCGAGACTGTCTCAAAAAAAAAAAAAAAAAGAAAAAAAGGTTGCCCCTTTGGCCACCACTTCCCTTGATTTGCTGCTGTTCTTTCCATTTTGGCTACAGTGGTTTTTCTTTTCTTTCTCTCCTTTTTTTTTTTTTTTTTGAGTCGGAGACTTGCTTTGTCGCCCAGGCTGGAGTTCAGTGGTGCCGTCTCGGCTTACTGTAACCTCCACCTCCCGGGTTCAAGTGATTCTCCTGCCTCAGCCTCCCAAGTAGTTGGGAATACTACCACGCCTGGCTACTTTTTTTTTTTTTTTTAGACAGTCTCACACTGTTGACCGGGCTGGAGTGCAGTGGCACAATCTTGGCTCACTGCAACCCCCTCCTCCCGGGTTCAAGCGATTCTCCTGCCTCAGCCTCCCGAGTAGCTAGCTGAGATTACAGGCACCCACCACCACACTTGGCTTATTTTTTGTATTTTTTAGCAGAGACAGGGCTTCACTATGTTGGCCAGGCTGGTCTCGAACTCCTGACCTTGTGATCTGCCCACCTCGGCCTCCTAAAGTGCTGGGCTTACTAGTGTGAGTCACGTGCCTGGCCAGTAGCCTGGCTACTTTTTTGTATTTTTAGTAGAAACAGGGTTTCACCATAATGGCCAGGCTGGTCTCGAACTTCTGACCTCAGGTGATCTGCCTACCTCAGCCTCCCAAAGTGCTGGGATTACAGGCATGAGCCACTGCACCCGGCCTTCTTTTTCTTGTTTTAGAGACAAGGTCTTGCTCCATCACCCAGGCTGGAGTGCAGTGATGCGATCTTGGCTTACTGCAGCCTCCTCCTCGATTCAAGCAATTCTTGTGCTTCAGCCTTCCCAGTAGCTAGGACTATGAGCGTGTGCCACCACACCCAGCTAATTTTTATAATTTTAGTAGAGTCAGGTTTCACTGTGTTGGCCAGGCAGGTCTCGAACTTCTGGCCTCACGTGATCTGCCCGCCTCCGCCTCCCAAAGTGCTGGGATTACAGGTGTGAGCCACCACGCCCGGCCTGTGCTAGACTTTTATATGACTGGCAGTGCAATAAGTTTGCTTACATCAGCATCACCACAAACACTAGGCAATAGAAATTTTTCAGCTTCATTATAATTTTGTGGAACCAGGGACCACCATCATATACACAGTCCATCGCCGACCAAAACATTGTCCGGCACTGCATGACAGTATTTACTATCTGGCTCTTTACAGGAACACTTTGCCTACCCCAGGCCTGAGACTGGACTGTGCTTGTAGGGTTTGTATGCCCTTGGGGCTGTGAGTGATAATTATATGTGGAACTTGAAGGAATATTTTTTAATTTTAATAGTTCTATATTTATTTTGATAGATATAAGAAAATGTGGCCGGGTGTGGTGGCTCACGCCTGTAATCCCAGCACTTTCGGAGGCCGAGGCGGGCGGCTCATGAGGTCAGGAGATTGAGACCATCCTGGCTAACACGGTGAAACCCCGTCTCTACTAAAAATACAAAAAATTAGCCGGGTGTGGTGGCACACGCCTGTAGTCCCAGCTACTCGGGAGGCTGAGACAGGAGAATGGTGTGACCCCGGGAGGCAGAGCTTGCAGTGAGCCGAGATCGCGCCACTGCACTCCAGCCTGGGCGACAGGGCAAGACTCCGTCTCAAAAAAAAAAAAAAAAAAAAAAAAGAAGAAGAAAATTTGTGATCCAACAGCTATTATTGCTTAGGACAAGGCTTAGTGCAAAAGTGTGCAAGTTCAAGAAGTCTTAAGTGGGCCAGGCATGGTGGCTCACAACTGTAATCCCAGCACTTTGGGAGGCCAAGGTGGGTGGATTGCCTGAGGTCCGGAGTTCAAGACCAGCCTGGCCAGCATGGTGAAACCTCGTCTCTACTAAAAATACAAAAAATGGCCGGGTACGGTGGCTCACGCCTGTAATCCCTGCACTGGGAAGTTGAGGCAGGTGGATCACCTGAGGTCAGGAGTTTGAGACCAGCCTGGCCAACATGGTGAAATCCTATCTACTAAAAATACAAAAAATTAGCTGGGCATGGTGGCACGCGCCTGTAATCCCAGCAACTCAGGAGGCCAAGGCAAGAGAATCGCTTGAACCCAGGAGGTGGAGGTTGCAGTGAGCCAAGATCAAGCCACTGCACTCCAGCCTGGGCAACAAGAGTGAGACTCCGTCTCAAAAAAAAAAAAAAAAAGAAATTTTAAGTGGTGTAGGATGATGACATCTAACAAAAATGAAGAGGGAGCAGGGCAGGGGAATGGCTGTGACTTGGGAGCCCTGGGTTGTGGTCAGTCCTTGGTGCTGGGGTGTGGCAGGCCACAGAGACCCCAGTGCCTCCTGACGGTGCCCCTCTCTCCCAACCCAGCATTTGAAGTGCACCATCATGGGCCTGACCCTCTGGGACCCCAGCTGTCAGGCCGAGGACAGGGGTGACCAGTTTGTCCTGCACAGCGCTTACTCCAGCTGTGGCATGGAAGTGACGGCGAATATGATCAGCAATGAGGTAAGAGCTGGGGCCAGAAAGGTATCAGGACCAGCCTGGTTGGTGCCCCCTCAAGTGCCTCCCTGATCCCCCAGGGTGGAGGTGTGTTTGGGAGAGCAGGGTGCAGAGGCTCAGAACATAAGACAAGCTTGGCCACTGGTTGGCTCAGTCTCCCCATCTGCAAAATGGGTGTATTGGGTGGGATACCCTCTGGGGTCCTTTCTGGCTCTGACCAGCTCCCTGGCTTTGTCCTCGCAGGTGGTGGTCAATATCCTGTCGAGCTCATCACCACAGCGGGTAAGATGGACAGTCACGTGCTAACCCACCTGGCCCAGGGGCTGCTGCTGGGCCGGGGCCTCTTCCTGGCTTGGGAGGGAGTAGGCTTCAGGAAACTCCTGGCAAGCCATGTGTCTGGCATCGGTCTCCCGTTCTGTATGAGCGGAGCAGGACTGCTGAGGGTGACGCTCTCAGTCTCTCAAGTCAGAGGTCTTAGCACATACTGGCTGTGTGGCCTTGGGCAAGTCACTTTAGTTTTCTGGGCCCAAAGGTGGCCTAAGAAAGGACTCTGCGCCAAAGGGTGCCTCTGGGCAGCCAGTGAGGTGCCGTGTGGAAGCTCTTCACACAGCCTGGCAACTGCTGCCTCCTTGATAAATATTAGTTAAAAAAAAAAAAAAGGGCCGGGCGTGGTGGCTCAAGCCTGTAATCCCAGCACTTTTGGAGGCCGAAATGGGTGGATCACGAGGTCAGGAGATCGAAACCATCCAGGCTAACACGGTGAAACCCTGTCTCTACTAAAAAATACAAAAAACTAGCCAGGCGAGGTGGTGGGCGCCTGTAGTCCCAGCTACTTGGGAGGCTGAGGCAGGAGAATGGCATGAACCTGGGAGGCGGAGCTTGCAGTGAGCTGAGATCTGGCCACTGCACTCCAGCCTGGACCACAGAGTGAGACTCTGTCTCAAAAAAAAAAAAAAAAAAAAAGATGAGTCAGGCAACTCCACAGGGCCATGACGTCTGTTCCTCCCCACACCCCTCGCCCTCCTGGCTGGTGCCGCCGGACTGACCAAGTCTCCCTCCCGTCCTCCCCCAGAAAAAGGTGCACTGCCTCAACATGGACAGCCTCTCTTTCCAGCTGGGCCTCTACCTCAGCCCACACTTCCTCCAGGCCTCCAACACCATCGAGCCGGGGCAGCAGAGCTTTGTGCAGGTACCTGGCATGCCTGTCACCCCTCGGGCCTCCCAGCTCCTGCAACTTCCTCTCTGCCTTTCTTCCCACCATGACTCCAGAGGAGATGAGAATCCCAGAGTCAGGAGGGAGACGGCCTGGGTGCGTGGGAGAGGGAGACAGAGAAGGCATTGCTCAGGGATGCTGACAAGGATGTGGCCCTGTCCTCCTCCTCTGACCCAGACAGGTCCATGCCTTTCCTTCCACCGTGAGGACTCAGGGGTGGGAACTCTTCATTCTAGCCGATATTTCAAGGCAGCAGGTGGGGTGGGGTGAAGAGCAGCTGCCCATGCCTCGTGGCCCTACCTACCCATGCAGGTCAGAGTGTCCCCATCCATCCCCGAGTTCCTGCTCCAGCTAGACAGCTGCCACCTGGACTTGGGGCCTGAGGGAGGCACCATGGAACTCATCCAGGGCCGGGCGGCCAAGGGCAACTGTGTGAGCCTGCTGTCCCCAAGCCCCGAGGGTAACCCGCGCTTCAGCTTCCTCCTCCACTTCTACACAGTACCCATACCCAAAACCGGCACCCTCAGCTGCACTATAGCCCTGCGTCCCAAGACCGGGTCCCAAGACCAGGTGAGTGGAGCCTGGGCCGGCCCCAGCTTCAAGTGGGAGCTTCTAGGTCTGTGGTTTGCAGGAAAGGACATGGCAGCCCACAGGGATGTGGGGCCAGCTGGTGAGGGGCAGAGCCTTAGTCAGGCATGTCACCTGGCAGTCTGGCTGCCAGCAGCACTTTCTGCCACCCGAGAGCTTTCTGGTGGGATTGCCATGTCTTGGGCACTGGCAGACTATGCAGCTGCCAGACTATGCAGCTGCCAGACTATGCAGCTGCAACTGTCCATCTATCCATCATCTATCCTTCCACTTATTCACCCGTCCGTCCATCCATCCATCCATCCACCCTCCCACCCACCTGCCATCCCAGCCAGGCATCCACCATCTTCCCACCATCCCACCATCCCACCCAGGAATCTAGCCACCCACACATCCATGTAGTATGGTCACCAGTGTAATCTCAAAGAACAGGAGACCCGAGGGAAGAGGCAGACAAAGGACACACACTCCTGGCTTTCTGTATTTGCCAGTCACAACACTTCACCATCTGGTGACCCCCACTCTCAGGCAATCTGTCCTGGATACCCCCAGAGTCACCCCCAGGCCCTTACACAGACAGGCCTCCAGGATTACAAACTTCTCTGGTCATATGAAGCTAGGGAAGCCTTCGAGGCTCACCTAAGTGGGCCCCTCCCTCCAGCCACAGTGAGCCTGGGGCTCTGGGCTGACCTGGCTCATAGCTCCAAAGTGTTCACGAGGGTGAGGGATGCATAGTGCTCCCACAGTGCTCCCAGGCATCAAGCCCTCCAGGAACTCACAGGAAACATGTCAGCAGCAGCCAGGGATTGTCCACTAGGCACCCTCCCACAGCACAGATCTTCCAGGACTCACCCAGAGGCATCCAGCTACGAAGCGGTGGAGATGGGATTCTAAGCCAAGGCTCTAGAGTGGGCTGGGGTCACAGAGCCAGGGAGTAAACCTGGAAGCCGCCTCCCAAAGGCTGTGCCACATACTGCTCTCTCTTCCTCCTCCAGGAAGTCCGTAGGACTGTCTTCACGCGCTTGAACGTCATCAGCCCTGACCTGTCTGGTGAGCTCCCTCCAGGTCTCTCGGGTTTGTTCTAGTGGCTGAGGTCACAGTAGAGCACAGCGGGCAGCCCTGAGAAACGGCCTGGGCACATAGCACATAGCACATGGCAAGGGGGATCCCAGAGAAAGCAGCCCAGAAGGGGCAGGAGGAGGGCTTCCCAGAGTCACAGCAGCCTAGAACAGGGGCCAGAGCCTGCACTTTGCAGATGGAGAGCCCTTGCCTGAGACCATCCTGTGGCGTGGGAGTCTAGGCCTCTGCCCCTACTCACGGCTCCACTCCATCCCCACCGTTGCTGGGAGGATGGAGCCTCCTGGGTGGGACAGAGGCCCTTTGGGGTGGGGGTGCTGGCCTTGCCTTCCTTGAGGCCTCTCCCTGCAGGATGCTCCCTCTAGCCTCTCCATCAGTTCACCCCAGGCCCATACTAGGCAGAAGAGTCCCGACACTGGCAGCAGAGGCAGGGGTGAGGGATGGGGGCACCTACCTCTCTGCCACCACATCCAGGTCAGGATGGAGCCTCCACTCCCAGCCCAGGACCAAGAAGGCAGGGCTGATAACCCCATGACACAGAATTGGACATCAGAGGCTCAAGGGAAGACTGCCTGGCCTGTAGTCACACAGGAGTCAGGAATGTGGAGGGAATGAGGCTTGGAGCAATCAAAGAGCAGAGCTGCAGGGTGCTTGGAGCTGCTCTCACCTGTTGGCTACCTGCTAAAGGCTTCGGAGAGGGGCAGGGCTGACCTAAGGTCACGCAGCAGGTGGGGCAGGCTCTGCACGCCTGAGCCTCAGTTTCCTCATATTACCCCATCCATCCTCCCTGAAAACACATCTCCATCAGCCTTGAGGGGCAGAGGCATGACCCAAAAGGCCTGGCTGGGCCCTCTAGGTGGATAATTCTAGCAACCATGGCTCAATGCCAGGCCCGGCTGTGATGAGCCCGTTTGCTACAAGAGGAGACTGAGGTTCAGAGAAGTCAAGGGTCCAAGGGTGAGCAGGGCTGGCACCAAAGCCCACGCAGGCCAGCACAACAGGGTAGGGGATGGGGCAGGGGCAGAGGCGGCAGTGCTGATGGCGCCCGCCCTCTCTAGGTTGCACAAGCAAAGGCCTCGTCCTGCCCGCCGTGCTGGGCATCACCTTTGGTGCCTTCCTCATCGGGGCCCTGCTCACCGCCGCACTCTGGTACATCTACTCGCACACGCGTGAGTACCCCAGGCCCCCACAGTGAGCATGCCGGGCCCCTCCACCCACCCGGGGGAGCCCAGTGAAGCCTCTGAGGGATTGAGGAGCCCTGGCCGGGACCCTGACCTCCGCCCCTGCTCCCAGGTTCCCCCGGCAAGCGGGAGCCCGTGGTGGCAGTGGCTGCCCCGGCCTCCTCAGAGAGCAGCAGCACCAACCACAGCATCGGGAGCACCCAGAGCACCCCCTGCTCCACCAGCAGCATGGCGTAGCCCCGGCCCCCCACGCTTGCCCAGCAGGAGAGACTGAGCAGCCGCCAGCCGGGAGCACCGCTGTGAACTCACCCTGGGAGCCAGTCCTCCACTCGACCCAGGATGGAGCCTGCTCTCCGTGCCCGCCCTTCCCACCTCCCTCTCAGACGCCTGCTGCCAGTGGGGCCAATGCCTTGGAACACCTTGGGGTCCCTCCACCCCACCCCACAGAACCTTCATATCCCAGTGGGTCTGGGATACGGCTGCCCAGGGCCGCGGAGAGAGACCATTTGCCACACTGTTGTAAAACCCCAAGCCCCTGTCATTTGAACCTGGATCCAGCACTGGTGAACTGAGCTGGGCAGGAGGGGAGAACTTGAAGCAGATCCAGGCCAGCCCAGCCAGGCTGACAGCACCTCCCCCCGAGGAACGGAAGAGGGCCCAGCCTAGAGCCACCTGGATCTATCCCTTCGGCCTCCACACCTGGACTTGCCTAACTGGCGGGGGAGACAGGAGCCTAGCAGAGCCCAGCCTGGGAGCCCAGAGGGTGGCAAGAACAGTGGGCGTTGGGAGCCTAGCTCCTGCCACATGGAGCCCCCTCTGCCGGTCGGGCAGCCAGCAGAGGGGGAGTAGCCAAGCTGCTTGTCCTGGGCCCGCCCCTGTGTATTCACCAATAAATCAGACCATGAAACCAGTGATGGGCTGGGCTGGGAGAAGGGCAGTGACATTCAACGCCAGGGTGGGGTAAGGGCACAGGACAGGGCTGCTCTTGTCCTTGGCCCCCACTGGGCTGGCCTGGTGGCAGGGGCGGCATCCTGAACAGTAGCAGAAGCCAGGGCACAGGTTTTGATTCAGCCAGTTCCCCTCTGCCACTCAGCCCCTCGGCAGCACACCCCAGGGTCTCGGCTGCAAGAAAGCAAACACCAGGAGGCCCCATCCACACTCCCACTCTGGGGTTCTGAACACAGGCCCTCGACTGCTCTGAGTTCAAATCCTGGACCTGCCACTTGTTGGCCTGTGACTGTAGGCAGGTCCCATGGCTTTTTTTTTTTTTGAGACGGAGTCTTACTCTGTCGCCCAGGCTGGAGTACAGTGGCGCTATCTCGGCTCGCTGCAACCTCTGCCTCCCGAGTTCAAGCAATTCTCCTGCCTCAGCCTCCCGAGTAGCTGGGACTACAGGTGTGCGCCACCATGCCCGGCTAATTTTTGTATTTTTAGTAGACAGGGTTTCACCATGTTGGCCAAGATGGTCTCCATCTCTTGACCTCGTGATCCGCCCGCCTCAGCCTCCCAAAGTGCTGGGATTACAGGCGTGAGCCACCATATCTGGCCCCCATGGCTTCTTGAAGCCAGCAACAGTTCCCTCGTCTGTCAAATGGGTATAATTCTCCATCACCAGGTCTCTGCAAGGGGGTCTGCAGAAAGCACTGCCTGGCATATGGTCAACAGGCGTCAGTCCGGTCTTCTCATCTCACAGTCAGGCCACCTGAGGCGCACAGGGACGGAGGGACTTGTCCCAGGCCACACGGCCAGGCTTCCTCTACACCGCACAGGTCCCTGATCACCAGCAGCCCCTCTCTCCCTGTCTCTGCTGAGGGAGCAGGGGGTCAAGGGTCAGTCGAAGGCTTTGCCATTTCTTTAAAAAACAAAGTTAAAGGCTTTAATTCACTCCAGCCACCCACTGTCCTAGGGTGTCCCAGGCAGAGGCCTTCTCCCTTCCCAGAAGGCACTGGGAGGAAGAAATCTACCACCCAGCACATGGCAGGACCCAGGGCCTGGCCAGGCAGTGCACACAATACGCTGGGCCTGAGCCAGGAGGCAGGCAGGGTATGGGGGGGAGACAGGCTGAACGGCCAGGCCACTGCAACAGTGAGAGACCCAGGGAGCCCCTCGCTATCTCGGCCAGGAGGAAGGAAAGACCAAGGCACAGAGCCTTAGAAAAGAGGACATCCTCTCCTGGCCTCCCATCCCAGAGCCCTGATCCCTAGGCCAGTCTAGACAGAACCAGGAAAGCAGAAAACAAAAGGCACCTAGTATGTAAGTTCATGGGGAGAACGCAGGCAGGTGTGGGAGGCTCCCACCTCCAACCCCGGGCCTCAGCTACTGGGACAGTGCAGGCTCCAGCAGCTTCAGGACACCACCCACCAGGTGCAGGCTGCCAGTGACCAGCACATGGATGGCAGCAGCCTCATGGAGTACGCTGGCCCCACTGTGAGCCACAGGGTGGGTGAGGAGGCCCTTTGGGGGAGTGGGTGGCTGGAAGACAGGGTCTCGGCCTTGGCTGATCCATTGCAAGGCATGTGAAATACAGCTGAAGACGAGGGAGCTGGCGCTGCAGGTGTGGGGTGGGTGGGGCGCCAGCAGTAGGGATGTGGGCCCAGCAGGCTCTGGGCTGGGGGCGCTCCAGAGGTCTGGGCTGGCCTGCTCTTCGTCCAGGTGGTTCCAGTGCTGCTGGTGTTCCAGGCAGCGGAGCAGAACCTGGTCCAGTGTCACCGTGAAGTTCTGTTGGTCTGTGGAGCACAGAGACAGGCATGTCAGCGAAGGGGAGAGGGAGTAAGGGACAGGGGTGGAGAAAGGGGCTGGTGCACCGTGAGCACCTGTTTAGCACCAAGCCCTTTACATCATCAGGCCAGCAGTCTCGGCTCATGGTCTTCTCCATGGACACAATGAAGAAACTGCAGCTCAGGCAGGTTCAGTGACTTGCCTAAGGTCACGAGAGGCAGAGCCAGACACTCTGGCTCTATAGCTTTTGCTCACTAGGTACCATTTCCCCACCCTGGCCTCATTGTCTCCATCTATAAAATGGAAATCCAGCTGGGGACCATCACCAAGTGGGCATTTCTGGGGCTGCTGGTTAAAAATGCAGATTCCGGCCGGGCGCGGTGGCTCAAGCCTGTAATCCCAGCACTTTGGGAGGCCGAGACGGGTGAATCACGAGGTCAGGAGATCAAGACCATCCTGGCTAACACGGTGAAACCCCGTCTCTACTAAAAAATACAAAAAAAAAAAAAACTAGCCGGGCAAGGTGGCAGGTGCCTGTAGTCCCAGCTACTCGGGAGGCTGAGGCAGGAGAATGGTATAAACCCGGGAGGCGGAGCTTGCAGTGAGCTGAGATCTGGCCACTGCACTCCAGCCTGGACGACAGAGCCAGACTCTGTCTCAAAAAATAAATAAATAAATAAATAAATAAAAATAAAAATAAAAATGCAGATTCCAGGCCGGGCACCGTGGCTCATGCCTGTAATCCCAGCACTTTGGGAGGCCGAGATGGGCGGATCACCTGAGGTTAAGAGTTCAAGATCAGGCCAGGCGCGGTGGCTCAAGCCTATAATCCCAGCACTTTGGGAGGCCGAGACGGGCGGATCACGAGGTCAGGAGATTGAGACCATCCTGGCTAACACGGTGAAACCCCATCTCTACTAAAACATACAAAAAACTAGCCGGGCGTGGTGGCGGGCGCCTGTAGTCCCAGCCACTCGGGAGGCTGAGGCAGGAGAATGGCGTGAACCCGGGAGGCGGAGCTTGCAGTGAGCTGAGATCCGGCCACTGCACTCCAGCCTGGGCGACAGAGCGAGACTCCGTCTCCAAAAAAAAAAAAAAAAGTTCAAGATCAGCCTGGCCAACATGGTGAAACCCCATTTCTAAAAAAAAAAAAAAATTAGCCAGGCGTGGTGGCATGTGCCTGTAATCCCAGCTACTTGGAAGGCTGAGGCAAGAGTATCGCTTGAACCCGGGACAGGGAGATTGCAGTGAGCTGAGATCATGCCATTGCACTCCAGCCTGGGCGACAGAGCAAGACTCCATCTTTTTTTTTTTTTTTTTTTTTTTTTGAGACGGAGTCTCACTCTGTCGCCCAGGCTGGAGTGCAGTGGCCGGATCTCAGCTCACTGCAAGCTCCAGCTCCCGAGTTTACGCCATTCTCCTGCGTCAGCCTCCCGAGTAGCTGGGACTACAGGCGCCCGCCAACTCGCCTGGCTAGTTTTTTGTATTTTTTAGTAGAGACGGGGTTTCACCGGGTTTACGGGGTTTCACCGGGTTAGCCAGGATGGTCTCGATCTCCTGACCTCGTGATACGCCCGTCTCGGCCTCCCAAAGTGCTGGGATTACAGGCTTGAGCCACCGCGCCCGGCCAAGACTCCATCTTAAAAATAAACAAAAAACAAAATTAGCCGGGTATAGTGGCGCGTGCCTGTAGTCCCGGCTACTCACGAGGCTGAGGCGGGAGAATCATTTGAATCTGGGAGGCAGAAGTTGCAGTGAGCCAAGATGGCACCACTGCACTCCAGCCTGGGCAACAGAGCGAGACTGTCTCAAGAAAAAAAAAAAAATGTAGATTTCAGAACTCTCCCCAGCCAGACTGATGTGGGGACTGGAGATGTTTTTTGTTTTTTTTAAGACAGGGTCCAGGGTCTTGCTCTGTCACCCAGACTGGAATGCAGTGATGCAATCATGACTTCATGACTCACTGCAGCCTCCACCATCCAGGCTCAAGCGATCCTTCCACTTCAGCCTCCTGAGTAGCTAGGACCACAGGTGTACACACCCACACCTGGCTAATTCTTCTATTTTTTTTTTTTTTTTTAATAGAGATGAGGTCTGGCTTTTAACTCCTGGGCTCAAACAATCCTCCTGCCAAAATGCTGGGGTTACAGGTGTGAGCCACCAAGTCCAGCCTGGGACCTGTATTTTTTACACTATTTCAAAAATTTTTAACACGACACATAGTAAAAAACACATTTTATATTGCAACCCAGTACTCACATACTTGTACGTACGTATGCCTGGAACAGAATGACCTTCGCCAAACAGGACCTACCCTTACTTGTGCAATGCACACTGGCATTTTCTATTCTACTCTATTTCATATAAAATTAAAAATGCTGGCCGGGTGCGGTGGCTCACACCTGTAATCCCAGCACTTTGGGAGACTGAGGTGGGCGGATCATCTGAGGCCAGGAGTTTGACACCAGCCTGGCCAACATGGCAAAACCCTGTCTCTACTAAAAATATAAAAATTAGCTGGGCATGTTGGCACATGCCTGTAATCCCAGCTATTCCAGAGGCTGAGACATGAGAATCATTTGAACCCAGGAAGCAGAGGTTGCAGTGAGCTGAGATTGTGCCACTATACTCCAGCCTGGGTGACAGAGTGAGACTCTGTCTCAAAAATTAAATTAAAGAAAAAAAATTTTTTGAGACGGAGTCTCGCTCTGTTGCCCAGGCTAGAGTGCAGTGGCGTGATCTTGGTTCACTGCCAGCTCCGCCTCCTGGGTTCACACCATTCTCCTGCCTCAGCCTCCCAAGTGGCTGGGACTACCGGCACCCGCCACCACGCCTGGCTAATTTTTTGCATTTTTTAGTAAAGACAAGGTTTCACTGTGTTAGCCAGGATGGTCTCGATCTCCTGACCTCGTGATCCGCCCACCTCGGCCTCCCAAAGTGCTGGGATTACAGGCATGAGCCACCGCGCCTGGGCAAAAATTTTTAAAAATAAAATTAAATAAAGTATACTTTGGTGTATAAAAGAGTATAAGTACACTAAAGTGTGCTTATACAGTAAAACAAATTTATTTTCTACCCCAAACCTCCAGTCTGGAAGCCCCCACTGCCTACCTCAGGGACCCCTGCCCATCCCCAGGGGCCATGCCTGTTACATCTCACCTGCATTGCCTGTGGATGACACCTCTGTCAGGTTGGGGCAGAAGACGGCATAGTCAAACTGGCACGGCTAGAAGGCCAAGGGAAAGACCTGGTGTCAGACCCCGGAAAGGATGTCCGCCGACTTCCACATGACCCCCTGAGCCCACATCTGGAGATGCAGCCTCCCTGACAACTAGAATGACGCTGTATAAACCCAGCCAAGGTACTTCAGCACCCTGCCCCCATCTGCCTCAGTATACCTTGCCTGGCCTGTGGCCTGAGCAGCGAAGCCCCAGCCTACTGTACAGATGGGGGAACCGAGGCCACAGGTCAAGAGGACTTGCTGAAGGTCACTCAGATAGTGAGGAGACCCCAAATCCAGGCTGGAAAAAGACTGTGGGTAAATGGGAGAGGTTCTGGATACAGCCTCAGCCTCCTGATCTGTGAAATGGGAGATGATACCTAGGGGCCACTTCAGCCCTGACAGCTTGGGCAGCCTCAGTTTCCCCAAGCAGAGAAAGGCCCAGTGACTCCTTCAACCAAACTCGAGAAGCAGGTACCCTTAGCAGCAACCCAGTTTTATGGAGAGGCAAAGTGAGGCTCAGGGAAATGCCACCTCTCGCCCAGTCCAGGGTGATATGCTAGTGCCAAAGGGGCATGACAAGTGAGTCCAGTGTCTACGCCTTTAGCCACGACGTGGCCCTCCTCGTAAGCCTGGACTTGAGTCTAGACACGCGGGGAAATGAGTAATGACCTATGACTGGACTCCCCGCGGCCCTGCGGCACCTGGCGGAACCAGCATATGCACCTCGTCACATCTAATCCTCAATACAACTCAGAGTGGCGACTGGCACCCCCCAGGGTCACACCGTCAGACCCAGGGCTTCAGGAGTGCCTGCCGCCCACCCGCAAGTCGGCCCCTCACCTGCAGCAGTTTCAGCAAGGCCGCCGGGTCCCGGTCCCCGGTAGCATTGAAGAGCAAGACTCGAACCTCGGGCCCACTGCTGCAGGGGCGAGGAGCTGGGTCAGAGGGCGCCGCCCATTCTCCCAATCCCGTCCCCGCCCTTCCCCACGACCCCGCCCCTCCCCGTGGGCCCGCCCCGCCCTTCCCCAAGATCCCGCCACTTCCAGTGAGCCCGCCCAGGCCCCACCCCCATCCCAGCCCCTCACCCGCTCGGCCTCTCTCGGCCCTGCAGCGCCTGGCGGAACCAGCGCACGCAGGCCTGCACGCTGCTGGGGGTGTGCGCGCCGTCCAGGTACCAGGTAAGGGGCCCGCGCCGCAGCACCTGTGTCCGCCCCAGCCACTCCGTGTTCCGAAGCCCTGGGGGAGGGCAGCAAGGCAGTCCTCCAGGTTCTCTCCCACCCCCGTCCTCAACTCCGCACACACACTGCTGAGGCCAGTCTCCCCTGCAGGCTGCGCCCGCTCTCAACACTCTGAGGACCCCGGCAGCCCAGGAACTTCTTACTAGCACCAGTCAATGGCTCGGCCTTTTCGGCTGCCTCATCTGGTGGAATCTTTCAGGCAACTCTGAAAGGGTCTGCTATCATGTATGATTCCCGTTTGACAGCCCGAGAGCCCTTAGCTGGGGCCGGGATGTGATGCGAGGTCGGCCTGTCGCCAGGACCTTGTCACTTGCCCCTGACAACAGGCGTGGCACACAGTGGGCCCACTATTTGCTGCAGGGGCTTAAAAGCATGAGCACCCGCTGGGTGCTGAAAGCTTTGGGGGAGGCAAGAAGCAGATGACTGGATCACCGTCCTCCAGAACCTCAGGGTCTGATAACAATGATAGTGACAGTGATAGCAGCTTCCACTGGCTGGCACTTTATCCCACATTGGCCAGGCCCTGCACTCAGCACCTTAGTGATGTCACCTCAGCGAATCCCCACCACAGCCCTTGGCAGTGGCTCCTATCATCATCCAGTTTGGCAGATGAGAAGACAGGCTCAGAAAGAGTTCATGAGCTCAAGGTCAGGGAGGTTTGCTGACATCAGAATCCTTTCTCTTAAGCACCACTTCAGATTGTCTCTATCTCCCAAACAGAAAACCAAAAAAAAAAAAAAAAAAAAAAGAAAAAAACATCTGAAGGGGCACAGACACACGCAGTGGTCCCAGCTGGGCAGGAAGGTCCAACTCACCGAGCCGCATGTGGGATGTGGGCTGGAACACGGGTGCCAGGGGCAGCTGCCACAGGAGCCCCGGCCTGGATGCTTTCACCTCCCCAGCACCTGCGGGGTGTGTGAAACCAAGTGTGCCCAGGACCCTCCTAGGCAGGCTCCACAGGTGCCACCGACCTGCCTGCCCACTCAGCTGCCCGCCGCTCACCATGGTGGTCCTGCCGCTGCAGCCAGCAGTGGGCCAGTTGCAAGGCCAAGGCGGCATTGGACCGCTGGTGCTCCCCGTCCAGGCCCAGGGCCAGCGGCGGCCCCCCTTCCTCCAGGGCCTCCAGCGTCGGACACAGGTAGAGAGGACACTGGGGGAGACAGGCAGGAGCGTGTCAGCAGAGGCCCTCCCTGACCACATCAGCCCTCCCATCTCTCCCCTCCCCCAGCCACCAAGCCCTGCTCCCAGAACTGAGATGTGTTCCAACTGGCCCGGCAGCTTCCTCACTGCACAGATGAGCAGACTGAGGCCCCAGAGGATGCAGTGCCTCCTCAAACAGGAGGGACACACGCCCACCCTGCCGCTGCCCCCATTCCAATCAGACTTACTGAGATCTGCTGGGCTCGGTCCCTCAGCACTGCCAGGGGACCTTCAGGTTGGAGCACAGTGAAGGCAGGGACGCCTTGCTGTGGAGGGAACAAGGAGAGAGAAGGGGCTACCTAGCGTCCTCCACACTGCTATCTCTGGCCCCCACATCCCTGGGTCTGGGCTACCACTGGCTCTCATCCCTCATGTTTCTTCATTTCTGTTTTTTGAGAGGAAGTCTCACTCTGTCACCCAGGCTGAAGTGCAATGGCACAATCTCGGCTCACTACAACGTCTGCCTCCCGGGTTCGAGCGATTCTCCTGCCTCAGTCTCCCCAGTAGCTGGAACTACAGGCGTACACCACCACACCTGGCTAATTTTTGTATTTTTAGTAGAGACGGGGTTTCACCATATTGGTCAGGCTGGTCTCAAACTCCTGACCTCAGGTGATCCTCCTGCCTCGACCTCCCAAAGTGCTGGGATTGCAAGCATATAAGCCACCATGCCCAGCCATCCCTCATGTTTCAATGGGGAAACAGTCTGGAGAGGAGACTCAACTTGTTCCAGTCACACAGTGAAGCCAGGATGAGAATGCAGACGCCCAGGCCTTCCATGTCTCTCCCGTCCCCCAATCTGCCTGGTCACCTTAAAGATGCCCCCTTTCTGCCATGCAATCTTCTCCACCGTGTCCCCCAGGAGGCTGGTGTGGTCGATGCCAAGAGAAGAGACGCCGCACACCACAGGCTTCCTGCAGAGGAGGAAAAGGCCATGAGGCCCTGCCGAGCCACCAGGCGGCAGGTGAGGCTGTGCTCCTGGCTGCCGCTCCTCGCCCCAAGCAACTGTGCTCACCTGATGATGTTGGTGCAGTCATAAGCCCCGCCAATGCCCACCTCCACCACTGCCAGGTCCACCTGCCAAAGACCAGAGGGCATGGCAGGGGGTATGAGGGTGCCCAGAGGCCACATGGAAGCAGGGAGCCCCCAGGCCTGCTGAGGTTCCTGTTCCCAAGGCCTCAGATGCAGGGTTCTAGGGAGAGGGCACACACCTTCTCTTGGAGGAAGACGTGGAAGGCCATGAGTGTCAGGAAGCGGAAGTAGGGGGGCATGGAGACACAGCTGCCATCCTGTGGCACAGGGACATGTCAGGGCCCAGAGCCCCTGCAGCCCCTCCTCTGGGGACATGGGGTGCTGGAACATGTAGCACCCCCAACCCCACCCACCCGCCAGCCCTCTTGCATGGGGCACCTTGGTCTCCTCCAGCCGGTGGTAGAGGCGCCAGAAGTACTTGGTGAAGAGCTCGGGACTGATGGGCTGCCCATTGATGCGGATCCGCTCCCGAACCTGCACCAGGTGGGGAGAGCTGCCGGGACAGCTGGGGTCGTCAGGACTCCCTTCCCGAGCATCCTGGCCTTCCCCCACCCTGCAGGGGCTGAGGCCACTGGCCTCGGTGCCTCGCCTCTCCTGTGTCCCTCGGTTTGTTCCTGGTACCCCATCCCCCCGGACTATCTGTAGCCCCCCCAGTCCTCCCCCTCTTCTATCTCCAGGTCTCTGCACCTGGCTCACCCTATTAACCACACTGGTCTCAACTAAGACAGCTCCTCCTCCTTTGGACCCTCACCCAGGCTGGTCTCGCACATCCAATGGTCCCATACCAGTCACTCTGCTGACATCTGTCCCACAATGCCATCTGTCTCACAGCTCTCAGAGAGAAAGCCCACAAGCAACGTTCAAGCTGCAGCCCTGGGCTGGCCCTCAAGGCCACATGGGCCCAAGGTGAAGGCTAGGGTTTTTATCCCCAAAATGACTGTAGTTTTTATTTTTACTTATTTATTTTTCTTTATTTTTGAGACAGGGTCTTGCCCTGTCACCCAGGCTGGAGTGCAGTGGCACAATCTTGGCTCACTGAAACTTCCACCTCTCGGGTTCAAGTGATTCTCATGCCTCGGCCTCCCAAGTAGCTGAGACTACAGGTGCACACCACCACGCCTTGCTGATTTTTGTATTTTTAGTAGAGACAGGGTTAACGCCATGTTAGCCAGGCTGGTCTTGAACTCCTGGCCTCAAGTGATTTGCCCGCCTGGGCCTCCCAAAGTGCTGGGATTACAGGCATGAGCCACTGCGCCTGGCCCAAAAAATGATTTTAGAAGACAGGTTGGTGCCTTATGTTTCAATCCTCAAAGACACTCAGGTAGTAAGTCCTCCTCTCCATCTCTTTATTTGAACAAGAACTGTTTAGGGAAAACATATTGGCTTGAAATGACCTTAGGCAGCTGATTTCAGAAGTTCCTGGTGATGGGCTTAGGAGACATGCGTGACACAGGAAGAGTGATTCTGGTTCTACCTGGCCATCCTCTTGTGTAAGTCTAGACAAGTGAGACCAAGAGGGGGCGCTGTCTCCTGGGGAAAGCCACAGCAGAGACTGGCTGAGCAGAAGGGCTCCTATCTGCAGCCCGCCTGGGAGACTTTAACATGGATGGCACAAGCCACCCTTATCATTTAAGCCCTTGCAAGGCAATTTTCTCCTTAAAGATGTACTAATTGATAAATATCTCTATGTGATTTTAAAGTTATATAAGGACTTTACTTTTTTTTTTTTTTTTGAGACGGAGTTTCACTCTTGTTGCCCGGGCTGGACTGCAATGGCGCCATCTCAGCTCATGGCAACCTCCGCCTCCCAGGTTCAAGCAATTCTACTACCTCAGCCTCCGTAGTAGCTGGGATTACAGGCATTTGCCACCACGCCCGGCTAATTTTGTATTTTTAGTAGAGACGGGGTTTCTCCATGTTGGTCAGGCTGGTCTCGAACTCCCGACCTCAGGTGATCCACCCGCCTCGGCCTCCCAAAGTGCTGGGATTACAGGCGTGAGCCACCGCGCCCGGCATTTTTTTGTTTTTGTTTTTCTTTTTTTTTTTTAAATAGAGATGAAGTCTCCCTATGTTGCCCAGGCTGGTCTCAAACTCCTGAGCTCCAGTGATCCTCCCACCTTGGCCTCCCAAAGTGCTAGGATTACTGTTGTGAGCCAACACACCCAACTTGTACTTTAAGTTATTAAAGAGACCTCTGACCATCTGACTATTCCAGTCATGTATTTTTTTTTTTTTTTTAAAGACAGTGTCTTGCTCTGTCGCCCAGGCTGAAGTGCAATGGCGTGATCACCGCTAACTGCAGCCTTGACCTCCCCGGGCTCAGGTGATCCTCCCACATCAGCCGCCCAGAGTGCTGGGATTATAGGTGTGAGCCACTACACCCGGCCTCCCGCTACATATTTAGTTTATACATTAAAGTTGTTGCCCCTTTTCCAATTTTTTTTTGTTATGAAAATTAAGGCCAGGCACAGTGGCTCACACCTGTAATCCCAGCACTTTAGGAGGCCGAGGTGGGCGGATCACTTGAGGTCAGGAGTTCAAGAACAGCCTGGCCAACATAGTGAAACCCCATCTCTACTAAAAATATAAAAATTAGCCTGGTGTGGTGGTGGGCGCCTGTAATCCAAGCTACTCGGGAGACCAAAGCAGGAGAATTGCTTGAACCCGGCAGGTGGGGGTTGCAGTGAGCCAAGATCACGCCATTGTACTCCAGTCTGGGTGATAGAGTGAGACTCAGTCTCAAAAAAAAAAAAAAAAAAAAAAATTAAAGGTTGCCATAAACATGGGCCAGTATGGTATGTGCACTGCATGTTTATTGAATGAATAAACATTGGGCAGAGAGACATGTAGCTGACCTCCTGGGGGTGACCCTGGTCCTGAAGCACTGGCTGGTTCCATAGCCCCCCAGGGTCCATTGGGACAGAGACACTACATCCCTCCACAACCCAGTACCTAAAGAATCCCGTTTTCAGGCCATAGCTTCGGAGGATACATTCCGTGAAGGCACAAGTGGAGCCCTTGAAAGAAAAGGGATTGTCTGGGCAGGCTCTACCCCACCAGCCACTTAATAGACCCCATACCCCTGGGTCCTGCCCCTCACCTTCCCCTTCGTCCCAGTGACGTGGATGATGTTCAGCCGGTCCAAGTCCTCCACCTGGGACAGACAGACAAGGTCCCCACCTCAGCTATGGGAATCACTAATGGGGGTGGGAGGTGGTCACTGGCTCTCTCTACCTTACCTGCAGCCCACTCCGTGCCAGGTACAGTTCCATGGCTTCCAGCTGTGTCTGGGGGTCACCCCGCTGGCGCTTCACCTGCTCCAGGTAGCCGGCATTGGTCTGCAGGGTATTAAGCATGCGCACGGCATCCTGGCAACCACAGTGCCCAGGTGGCAGGTTAAGGCTCACTCAGGGTCCACAGGCACAGAGACACCCAGCAGACCAGTGGCCAAGCCAGGGCAACAAGGCCAGTACCAGGCCTCCCTGCCGTGCCAGCCCCGTTACTTAGCCTGTAGGTTAAGCAACAGAGAGTATGGCATCTTTCCAGCTCTGGCAAATAGGGGAGCCTAGGGCAATTCAGCCCCACCCAGGGAGTGCCACACAAAGAAGATGGCATGACTAACGGGCTAGCCTTCCTTCCTGCCCAGGCTCCCCCGACTTTACTCCTGGGCCTTTGCCCTCATTCTCTCCAGTGGGGTCCATTGCTATATTGCTCCCTGCCAGGGCGGGGTCAGAACTACAGAAGGTTGGGGTATTTTAATTCTGGAGTTCCCCGAAGCTCCATCCCAACTTCATGACTCTGGGGTTCCACATTCCAACCCACAGAAGAGCAACTGAGAGGGAGGAGGGGTGTGCCGGGGGTCACTCAGCCAGGAAGGCAGGTAGGTACTGCTTCAGGAGGGTTCACAATGGAAGTGGGAGTGGGGGTGCTATTTCCTTCCCCTTAGGCCTCATATTCCGTGCCTCCCACCCTCAGGACCTCAAGGCTGGCTGGAGGCCCCACCTTCATCAAACCAGTGCCACCCGTTTGACTGGCATCAGGTTCTGGTCTAGAGCAACTGGCTCTTGACACAGCGCCCGCGGACATTTTCTGTTTTCCAGGTTCTGGGGCCCTCCACTACCCCTGATTCCTGCCTGTCCCCCAATTCCAGGCACTTGGATCCCCAATCTTCTGAATCCTGGACACCCCACCCCCAGATCAATACTCCTGGATCTTTCAAGCCTGAATTCCTGAGTCTTTTCCCTCCCCTCTTTCCCCACTCCCACTGCCGGTTCAGACTCCGGGATCACTGGAACTCCAGCACCACCGCTGAGCCTCTGGGCTTCTGGATCCTAGCTCCAGCGACCCTTCCCACTCTCCAACCCGGGGCGGGGTCGCTAGAGTCTCCGAATTCCCAGACCCGGGCCCAACTTCCTGGTCCCTGTCCCCACCCCCAGGCTCCAGGATGTTCCGCCTCCCGAGTCCCCCAGTCCAGGGCTCCCGGTACCCTCTCGGCTAGCGGAGCCCGGATGTTCTGTGGCTCAGCGCAGGCCCACGTGTCGTCGCGCCCCGGCCCGCAGGCCCGCCTGATACCTGGTACTCCATGCTGGGCTCCTGCGGCACCGGCCACGCGCTCAAGCCCCGCTGCGCTGCGACCTGGGTCGTTACGCCGCGCGCAGACGCCGCTGCCAGGAATAGAGCGGCGCGCAGGTGGTTCCGCGCCCGCGACATAGCCCCGGCGACCTCGGCAGCGCGCTAGGCCCGGGCGGGAGACGCCCCGCCCCGCCCCCCGCCCCGCCCCCCCCCCCCCCCCCCGCCCCGCCCCGCCCCGCCCCCCGCCCCGCCCCGCCCCCCGCCCCGCCCCCCGCCAATCAGCGCAGCGCCGCCTCACCCCGCCCCCCGCCAATCAGCGCAGCACCGCCCTAAACTCCCCCGAGCAGCCCTCGTGCGCCACTAAAAAGCCGCGCCTCCCGAGTGCACCATCCTGGTGAGGGGCAGGCCTCGGGACCATGTTTATGAGTGGCACGCTCCGGGGCGTCCCCTCCCTTAGCGGGCACGCACTCCTTTTGTCACCATCCTCCCAAGGACCCCGCAGCACGTCCCAAAATAGCCGGTCCCGGTCAGCAGCCCTCAGTCTCTGCTCCGAACAGGGATAGGATGACAGAGCTGCGGACACCTGAGACACCTCTAAACAGCTGCTGCTGTTTAGAGAATGGATTCGAGGGCCACCAGGGGATGGTGGGGCAGTAATCCTTCTTTTCTGTGAGTGAGGAGGATACCTATTTGTCGTCCTGAAGTTTTCAGAGCTTTCTCCCATCTATTAGCTTCTTGGCCCCACCTGCTAGCATGAGAAAGTTGCATAGTGAAATCCTTTTGACAGCTGAGACCCAGAACCCGGGAGGGAGGAGGAAGCTGCAAACAACCCACTGCGGATAATCAGTCTGATAAAAGGCAGTCCTTCACATGACTGTTGGAGTTTCCGTACCTCCTTCCCCTCTCCCTCTTCCCAGCGTTGGGAGAAAATATTTATGAGAAATTGTTTGATTTCGAAATAAGCAAGTGATGTTTTGGGAAGAGTCTGTCATTGGCTGGACTTCTGCTCTTCACACACTGCTGGAGTGTCCCGACCCTGGCCCCGTGGGAGATAGAGAATTTCTTCCCTCTCTTGGGTTCCTTTAGTCATTGAAACTTTCTCTATACATATGCATGCATATAGTTTAATAACTGCATAAACATAATCAAGAGACTGGACGCAGTGGCTCACATCTGTAATGCCAGCACTTTGGGAGTCCACAGTGGGCAGATCATGAGGTGATGAGTTCGAGACCAGCCTGGCCAAGATGGTGAAACACCATGTCGACTAAAAATACAAAAATTAGCCGGGTGTAGTAGCAGGTGCCTGTAATCCCAGCTACTGGGGAGGTTGAGGCAGGAGACTTGCTTGAACCTGGGAAGCGGAGGTTGCAGTGAGCTGAGATCACACCACTGCACTCCAGCCTGGGTGACAGAGCAAGACTTTGTCTTGGAAAAAAATAAATCATGAGGCTTTAAATATTTTTATTTTGCTTACTCCCTTCCCCCTCCCCCCATACACACACAAACAGTTCCTCCTCTGGCAATCCTGTTGACAACTAAGTATATGTCCCACAGTTTTCTATGCTCATGAAACCAGACACACCTAGACATCTATAGGGTCTTGCCAATGCAGGTGACAATGTTTTTTGCATCTTAGCTTTTCAAAAATTTTTATTTTTAGAGACAGGGTCCCAATCTATAACTCAAGTTGGAGTGCAGTGGTACAATCATAGCTCAATGCAGCCTTAAACTCCTGCCCTCAAGCAGTCCTCTCACCTGGGCCTACCAAAGTGCTGGGGTCACGGGCATGAGTCACCATGCCTGGCTGCAACTTAACTTTCTTACTCAATGACAAGCTTATTATTTTCTAAGACATTTACTTAACTTTTTTTTTTTTCCAGATGGAGAAAACACTTTTTTTTTTTTTTTTTTTTAGATGGAGTCTTGCTCTGTCACCCAGGCTGGAGTGCAGTGGCGCCATCTTGGCTCACTGCAACCTCCGCCTCCCAGGTTCAAGCAATTCTCCTGCCTCAACCTCCCAAGTAGCTGGGACTACAGGTGCGTGCCATCACACCCGGCTAATTTTTGTATTTTTAGTAGAGATGGAATTTCGCCATGTTGGCCCGGCTGGTCTTGAACTCCTGACCTCAGGTGATCCACCCACGTCGGCCTCCCAAAGTGCTGGGATTACAGGCTTGAGCCACCATACCCAGCCCTTCACAAACACTTTTAGTACATCTCCAGATTCAGACACTGCTGTAAACACTTCTGACACAGTTGCTCATTTAATCTTCATCACAAACCCATGAAATAGGTACTAATATTATCATATAGGCCCAAAGGAGTAAAAGCATATGCTCAAGTCACAAAACCAAGATTTGACGTCTGGCCCCAGAGTCCTTATTCTTAGCCTCTGCACCTCCTTCCCTGTCTCCCCAGGGACACGGCTAATTCGGTGTCTTTAATGGCCGTGTGGCCTTCCCGGGAGCATCCTGGATTCACCTATGGAAAGGCATTCATTCTGCCTTCAGTGTTTTGCTGCTATGGATATGCGTTTACATCGAAGGGATTAATTTCTGTGAGTTGAATTGCATGGAGGGGTCGGGTTGGCTCCAGGGATGTTTGCAATCCTTTTCCCCAATGCTGCTGTAGTCTTGGCATCCCAGCAGCTATGTGTGAAGGAGGCACCCCTCTCCCAGGATGTCCCCAGACCACAGGGTGCAGAGAACCATCTCAGTGTTTCTCATTCCCCAGCTGCAGTGAACTTGAGCATCTTCCCATGCATTTATTTCAGTGAACTGCCTAACCCATCCTTGGCCCATTTTTCTAATGTCTGATGAGCTTCTTCATGTCAGTTATAATAGGCCTTTGTGGGCTGCACGCAGTGGCTCCCACCTGTAATCCTAGCACTTTGAGAGACTGAGGCAGGAAGACTGTTGGAAGCCTAGAGTTCTAGATCAGCCTAGGCAACATGGTGAAACCCCCTTCTCTTCAAAAAGCAAAAATTGCTGGGCATGCTGGTGCACATCTCTAGTCCCAGTTATTTGGAGGCTGAGGCAGGAGGATTTTTTTTTTTTTTTTTTTTTTTTTTTTGAGACAGAGTCTCACTCTGTTGCCCAGGGTGAAGTGCAGTGGTGCAATCTCGGCTCACTGCAACATCTGCCCCCTGGGTTCAAGCAATTCTCCTGCCTCAGCTTCCCGAGTAGCTGGGAATACAGGCGCCTGCCACCATCCCCAGCTAATTTTTGTATTTTTAGTAGAGATGGGGTTTCACCATGTTGGGCAGACTGGTCTGAAACTCCTGACCTCAGGTGATCACCCGCCTTGCCTTCCCTAAGTGCTGGGATTACAGGCGTGAGCTACTGCACCCAGTCAAGATGGATAATTTGAGCCCAGGAGTTCGAGGCTGCAGTGAGCTATGATAGCACCACTGTACTCCAGCCTGGGTGACGTAGTGAGACCCCCATCTTTTTAAATAAATAAATCAAATGCTTAAAACATTTTTTTTTTTTTTTGAGACGGAGTCTCGCTCTGTTGCCCAGGCTGGAGTGCAGTGGCGCGATCTCGGCTCACTGCAAGCTCCGCCTCCCGGGTTCCCGCCATTCTCCTGCCTCAGCCTCCCGAGTAGCTGGGACTACAGGCGCCCGCCACCGCGCCCGGCTAATTTTTTGTATTTTTAGTAGAGACGGGGTTTCACCGTGGTCTCGATCTCCTGACCTTGTGATCCGCCCGCCTCAGCCTCCCAAAGTGCTGGGATTACAGGCGTGAGCCACCGCGCCCAGCACTTAAAACATTTTTTTAACAAAAGGCACTTTGTGTAGTACTCATATTATCTCTCAGTTTCTGTCCTCTGTAGGGCAAGTATTTTTTCCAGATCTACTATTGGTGGCCTCAGTGGACTCATCTGTAAGAGGTGGCATAGGTGCTCTAAGCCATTCCTCCAAGAATGAGATCCCAGAGCCGGACTCCCTCCTCCAGTGTAAGGTGGAAAGCTTGTCCACATTGGTGAAAAAAACACTTTTTCTTATGTTTTCTTTTAAAATTCTAATTTTTTTTGGATAATATATCATTCAAATAGTTCAAAGACTGGCTGGGCGCAGCCAATCCCAGCACTTTGGGAGGCCAAGGTGGGTGGATCACTTGAGGTCAGGAGTTCGAGACGAACCCAGGCAACATGACGAAACCCTGTCTTTACTAAAAATGCAAAAAGTAGCCAAGCTTGGTGATGCACGCCTGTAATCCCAGCTACTTGGGAGGCTGAGGCACAAGAATCACTTGAACCTGGGAAGCGGAGATTGCAGTGAGACGAGACTGCATCACTGCATTCCAGCCTGGGTGAAAGAGCAAGACTCTGTCTCAAAACAAACAAAAAACAACAAATAGTTAAAGGGTCAAAACGGTGTACAGTAAAAAGCCTCCCTCTCTGGGAGCCCAGATTCCAGCACCCTAATCTTCCCTCCTCGAAGCAGTCAATGTTACCAGTTTCTTGTCACCTTTCCAGAGATAGGTATTTACTAGCAAATACAAATATATATTGATTTCCCTTTTATACTCACAGATAGCAGCAGACTGCAAGGCAAGTCTGCCTTGTACTTTCGCCATGTCCTTTTTAAACCAGGGCCCTATTCTGGGCTGTGTCAGTACATAAGGGCCATTCCGTTGGCGAATTTGTTTTGAAGCTGTGTGTAGTACTCCATGGTGTGGAAATACTACTGTGTACTCAGCCTGTTGCCTACTGATGGACATTTGGGTTGTTTCCAGTATTGTGCTATCACAAGTAATGGATAACAGTTTACCCAAGCTACAGTGGGTAACATTTTACCTTCATCATTTCTTCCTTGTGTGGCATATCTCATGGACAAATTCCAAGAAGTGCAATTGCTGGGTCAAAGGTGACCTGCACTTGCCTTTTTTTTTTTTTTTTTTTTTTTTTTTTGGAGACGGAGTCTCACTCTGTCGCCCAGGCCAAAGTGCAGTGGTGCGATCTCGGCTCACTGCAACCTCCGCCTCCCAGGTTCAAGCAATTCTCCTGCCTCAGCCTCTCCAGTAGTTATTACAGGTGTGCGTCAGCACGCCCGGCTAATTTTTGCATTTTTAGTAGAGACAGGGTTTCACCCTGTTGGGCAGGCTGATCTTGAACTCCTGACCTGGTGATCCACCCACCTTGGCCTCCCAAAGTGCTGGGATTACAGGTGTGAGCCACCGCACCCAGCTGACATTTTTATACACATGGCCACGTTGTCCCCCAGAAGGATTCAAGTTTCTCCTACTTCAGCAGTGCATGAGCCAGGATTTCCTCACATCTTCAGCAACACAGCCAGCTTTGATCCTTGCCAAATGTAAGGTGGAAAAATGGATTCTCTGAGTAGTTATCATTTACATTTATTTTATCGTGAAGGAGGCTGAGCACTTTTTTTGTGTTTAACAGCCGTCTGTGGCCGGGCATGGTGGCTCATGCCTGTAAGTAATCACAGTACTTTGGGAGGCTGAGGCGGTGGATCACCTCACGTTCAACATCAGTCAACATGGTGAAACCCTGTCTCTACTAAAAATACAAAAGTTAGCTAGGTGTGGTGGCACCTGCCTGCAATTCCAGTTACTTGGGAGGCTGAGGCAGAAGAATCGTTTGAACCTGGGAGGTGGAAGCTGCAGTGAGCCAAGATCGCGCCACTGCACTCCAGTGTGAGGGACAGCAAGACTCCACCTCAAAAAAAAAAAAAAAAAAAAGGCTGGCTGGGCGTGGTGGCTCACACCTGCAATCCCAGCTCTTTAGGAGGCCGAGGCGGGTGGATCATGAGGTGAGGAGTTCAAGACCAGCCTGACCAACATGGTGAAACCCCATCTGTACTAAAAATACAAAAATTAGCCAGGCGTGGTGGTGTGTGCCAGTAATCCTAGCTACTAGGGAGTCTGAGGCAGGGGAATCGCTTAAACCTGGGAGGCAGAGGTTGCAATGAGTCCAGATCACACCACTGTACTTCAGCCTGGGCAACAGAGTAAGACTCTGTCTCAAAAAAAAAAAAAGAGCTGTTTTGTTTCTACAGCCCACTCACCTCCTTTGTGGCTTTTTATTTGAAAAGCCACAAATATTTATAGAAGGAACTAGAAGAAAGTATAAAGGGAAAAATCAAAGGGATCTTCATCACGCAGCTGGAGAGGGAACTGCCGTTGGCCTTTTGGTGCTCACGAAGGCATTGCGTTCTCTCTTTCCAGGAACAACAACAGAAACACAGCCATTGTTGGAGAGAAGAGAAAACAAAGGGGGCAGGGGAACCAGTAAGTGGGCCGGTGCACACTCACGTGGGCAGATCTGCAGGTGCGTGTGGAGGGAAGGAGGGGCTGGGGTAGGAGCAGACTGAGGAACTCTGCCTTAACCCCCACCTTCCCACAGGGAAACGATGTCCTTCATTCACTTACTCATTGGGAAGAAATTATCTCTGCCAGACCCTGGGCTAGATGCTGGGGTCACTGTAGAGAACAGAAGACAAGGTACTGCTCACAGAGCACCCAGACCCGGGGGTGAGAGGGCAGCAAAGAAATTCACAAAGGAATATACAGATTTACAAACCCCGATCAGGTCAGAGGGTAACCACTGCAGAGTGGCAGGCTGAGGCTGAGAGAGACAGAGAGAGCTGGGGCCTCAGATCTGCCTGGGATACTACACTTTCTCCTGCCCCGTCATACACTCAGGATTAATAACACCCACAAGTTCACTGTGGCCTGGTCCCTGCCTACCTCTGGACTCACCCCCCACTTACAGGGCAGAGTCCCTGCCAGCTGGCAAGGACTTCAGCCATTGGCCTTGGCTTCTCCCACCTGCAAGCTTTTGCTTGTGATGTTTGCCTCTGCTGAAACACCCTTGCCTTGTTTTTGTCCTCTTTCCCTTTTTGGGGTGGGTTGTTTTTTGTTAACATTTATTAAGTAAGCACTAGGCTGGGAGCAGTGGCTCACGCCTACAATCCCAGCACTTTGGGAAGCCACGGTGGTGCAATCGCTTGAGGCCAGGAGTTTCAGAACAGCCTGGCCACAACGGTGAAATCCCATCTCTACTAAAATTACAAAAATTAGCTGGGTGTGGTGACACACTCCAGTAGCCCCACTACTTGGGAGGCTGAGGCAGGAGAATCCCTTGAACCAGGGAGGTGAGCCGAGATGGCGACACTGCACTACAGCCTGGGTGACAGAGAGACAGAGTAAGACACTACCTCAAAACAAACATTTATTAAGCACTTATCCCTGTGTTTGGCACCTGAAATCTCATGAAAATTGTGTGAATTCCAGATGATCCCTATTTTACAGGTGGAAAAATGAAAGTTCAGAGAGGTTAATCAACTCACCCAGAGTGATACAGCAGGCACAGGGACGTGCCAGAGCCCACTTAAACCCAGATTACTGACTTTAATGTTGGTCCTTGCACCTCACCACCACCTGTCTGGTCACCCTGGCCTTCTCTGCTGTCGAACTGCTGTGTGACCATGGGCAAGACATTTCCCTCTCTGATCCTGTCTGACCCTCAGTCTCCTCTTTAAGAGAGTGAGGATTTTTTTTTTTTTTTTTGAGAGTCTCACTCTGTTGCCCAGGCTGGAGTGCAGAGACCCGATCTCAGCTCACTGCAACCTCCACATTCCGGGTTCAAGAGATTCTCCTGCCTCAGCCTCCATAGTAGTTGGGATTACAGACATGCGCCACCATGCCCAGCTTTTTTTTTCAGAGACGGAGCCTTGCTCTGTCACCCAGGCTGGAGTGCAGTGGCGTGATCTCGGCTCACCGCAACCTCTGCCTCCCAGGTTCAAGTGATTCTCCTGCCTCAGCCTCCCAAGTAACTGGGACTACAGGTGCCCACCATCGCGCCTGGCTGATTTTTGTATTTTTAGTGGAGGCAGGGCTTCGTCATCTTAGCCAGGCTGGTCTCGAACTCCTGACTTCATGATCCACCCGCCTTGGCCTCCCCAAGTGCTGGGATTACAGGCATGAGACACCGCGCCCGGCCGTCTTACCAATTTTCAGAGGGAAAAAACGTAGAATTTTTTTTCAATTTGTTCTCACTCTTTAAGCATGCTGGGTGCTGAGGTTAGCCCTGTGAGGGGCTGGCAGCATCACCCCCAAGAAACGGAGGCGTAGAAAGGAAAGGCCACCTTCCTGGTCGCCGGCTTCTCCTACCTGGAAGGAGGCAGTTTTAGCTGAGGAAGGTTGTCTGGATGGGCCCTCCATGGTTCCTTCCCACCAGAACTTCTCAGCCACTGGCAAGGAGGCAGCCAGGGACCTGGCACCTCTCATCCCTTGGTCTCCTGCTCCCCTTCTGGGTAGGGCACGAAGTGACACACACGTGTGGGCATCTCTGCCAAGTCACCTCTACCCAGGATTTAGCTGGAGTTGTGAGGCTTGTTGACCCAGAGAACGTGATTTGGGGAGATGCCAAGGCCTCCCCTCCCCTGATGGGACTGGGGGAAGAGGTTCTGGTCTCTCCAGTGTACAGGGAGAAAGGTTTTACCTGATAGGTTCCTGCCCTCATCCTAGGATCAGCCCATGGACTTAGCTTCCCTAGCGGGTTTCTGGAGTGGAGCGTGGGACTGGTCAGAACCTCACCGCGAGTTAAATAACAACTAGGTAGAGGTTAAAGGTAAGCACGCAGGCAGGCAGGCAGATGGGAGGCGAGGGGGCTATGCTTGGGAGGGCTTCCAGACCTTGGGGCTGGCTTTATCTGGCCTCCTCCAGGCCTCCTTATCCCAGCCCACCCACCTTACAGTTAGGGCCCATTTTGCCCTTGCCCTGCCAGGGTGAGATCCTGGCCAGGGAGAGGAGTACACAAAGGACAGGGTGGACACGGGACACGCTTAAGAGTCCAAGTCTGCTGGAGGAAGAGGCTCTGTTTCAGCAAATCACTTGGGCAAAAAGAAGCCAGGTAGCCAGGAGTGGTGGCAGGCGTCCTTAAGCCCAGCCATTCGGGAGGCTGAGGCAGAAAATCGCTTGACCCCAGGAGGAGGAGGTTGTAGTGAGCCAAGATCGAGCCACTGTGATCCAGCCTGGGCGACAGAGCCAGAGTCTGTCTTAAAAAAATAAGCCAGACACGGTAGCTCACACCTATAATCCCAGCACTTCAGGAGGCTGAGGTGGGCAGATCACGAGGTCAAGAAATCGAGACCATGCTGGCTAACACGGTGAAACCCCGTCTCTATCAAAAATACAAAATAGGCTGGGCGCGGTGGCTCAAGCCTGTAATCCCAGCACTTTGGGAGGCCGAGGCGGGCGGATCACGAGGTCAGGAGATCGAGACCATCCTGGCTAACCCGATGAAACTCCGTCTCTACTAAAAACAATGCACAAAACTAGCCGGGCGAGGTGGCGGGTGCCTGTAGTCCCAGCTACTCGGGAGGCTGAGGCAGGAGAATGGCATGAACCCAGGAGGCAGAGCTTGCAGCGAGCTGAGATGGCGCCACTGCACTCCAGCCTGGGGGACAGAGCGAGACTCCGTCTCAAAAAAATTCAAAATAGCCTGCCATGGTGGCAGGCGCCTGTAGTCCCAGCCACTCGGGAGGCTGAGGCAGAATGGCGTGAACCCGGGAGGCAGAGCTTGCAGAGTCAAGATTGCGCCACTGCACTCCAGTCTGGGTGACAGAGAGAGACTCCATCTCAAAAGTAATAATAGGCAGGGCGCGGTGGCTCACGCCTGTAATCCCAACACTTTGGGAGGCCGAGGCGGGTGGATCATCTGAGGTCCAAAGTTTGAGACCAGACTGACCAACATGGAGAAACCCTGTCTCTACTAAAAATACAAAATTAGCCAGGCGTGGTGGCGTATGCCTGTAATCCCAGCTACTCAGAAAGGCTGAGGCAGAATAGCCTGAATTCCAGGAGGCGGAGGTTGTAGTGAGCCGAGATGGTTCCATTGCACTCCAGCCTGGGCAATAAAAGTGAAACTCTGTCTCAAAAAAAAATAATAATAATAATAATGATAATAATAATAAAATAATTCTATTGAGGTGAAGGGTTAAGTTGTAACATACTTGATTCTCTCAGCCCTTTTTGGCTGTTTTACTATAGTCCCTATTTTGATGGTTATGCTCATATTTGTGGAAAAAGGTCTTGTATTTGCTGCATTATAATGACATCAGTACTTCCTTAGCTGGTTTAAGTACAAATGAATAAAACCATTTTTCCTTTAAAAAAAAAAAAAAAAAAAAACACCAGGACGTGACTCCAGGCTCTGAAACAAAAGGCCAGGACACAGAATTCAGTCCCCCTGCAGGGTGACATCCCGAGTTCATCCCCATGAGCTGGTGAAGGCCTTTCCCATCTGCACAGCCTCCTTGGCCATGTGTTCACTGCACTCGCTCCACTGTATCCCAGAGACTCACACGTGCCAGGTGCTATCTAGGTGCCAGAAACATGGTAAAAGCCCCACAGGGCCCTGCCCTCTGGGAGCCTTTATTCCAGTCCACATACCTCCCTCCACAGGTGGAAACAGCACCCATGTCACACTGGAGCTTGAGGCCAAAGCTAGAGAACCCTCCCCTGACTGGCCAGTCCCTGTTCCTCCCTGGGGTAGACTGGGGAAGGGGGTGAGGACGAGCTCCGGTCAGCAGCTCCAGGGTTTGGCGCCTGTCTTGGTTGTTTTAAAATGTAGCTTAATTGGCTGGGCACAGTGGCTCACACCAGTAATCCCAGCACTTTGGGAGGCCAAGGTGGGAGGATCCCTTGAGCTGAGGAGCTGGAGACCAGCCTAGGCAACAAAGCAAGACCCCATCTCTAAAAGATATGTTTTTAAAAATGTTTAAAAATGAAAAGATGGCTTAATTGCATAACAAATGTATTAGTTAACCAACTATGAGGAAACACCGAAACATAAAGAACCACACACTCTGTACAAAGCTCCCCAAAGGCTTCCCAGCCCTGGGCACTTGTACCCACACCCCCGCCCCAAAAAGCCTCGATTTCTGCTTCCACATCACGCTGACCCCTCAGCTACCCCCGACTCTTCCCCTTACCCCATTTTATTGTTTTCCATGGAACTCAATCAAACCAGTTTGGACCTACTGGAAAGCGAGCTCCACTGGGGTGGGGGTGGGCCACCGTTTCCAGCTGTATTAAGTCCCGAACAGCACAGCCCTTGGAAGACGCACCTAGTAAGTATACTCAATGAATGAATGAGACCAAAAAAATTGCAGTGAGGGTTCAATGACATAAAGACTATCATTGTGTAATTGCTCTTAAAAAATTCCTGTAAGTGGAATTGCTGAGTCAAAGAATATGAACCTTTTAGAGAAGCTTCTTATCCTTCAAAGAAAATACAGTTAGGCCAGCCCTGTGAGTTTTCCCACTCAATTCCTACTGACTGCTGTCAGGACACCTCACAATAGCTTTAATTTGGATTTTTCTTTTTTTTTTTGATAAGTCTCGCTCTGTCACCCAGGCTGGCAAGCAGTGGTGCCATCTCAGCTCGCTGCAACCTCTCTCTGCCTCCTGGGTTCAAGCGATTCTCCCACCTCTGCCTCCCAAGTAGCTGGGATTACAGGCAGGCGCCACCAGACCCAGCTAATTTTTTTATTTTTAGTAGAGATGGAGTTTTGGCATATTGGCCAGGCTGGTCTCAAAGTCCTGTCCTCAGGTATCCACCTCAGCCTCCCAATGTTGCGGTTTACAGGCCTGAGTCACTGCACCCAGCCCTGATTTGGAATTTTTTTTTTTTTTGAGACGGAGTCTCGCTCTGTCGCCAGGCTGGAATGCAGTGGCACAATCTCAGCTCACTGTAACCTCCGCCTCCTTAGTTCAAGTGATTCTCCTGCCTCAGCCTCCTGAGTAGCTGGGACTACAGGGATGCACCACCATGCCCAGCTAATTTTTTTTTTTTTTTTGAGACACAGTCTCGCTGTGTTACCCAGGCTAGAGTACAGTGGTTCGATCTTGCCTCACTGCAACCTGTGCCTCCTGGCCTGGGTTCCAGCAATTCTCCTGCCTCAGCCTCCCACATAGCTCGGACTATAGGCGCACACCCAGCTAAGTTTTGTATTTTTAGTAGAGATGGGGTTTCACAATTTTGGTCAGGCTGGTCTTGAACTCCTGACCTTGTGACCTGCCCGCCTCGGCCTCCCAAAGGGCTGGGATTATAGGCGTGAGCCACTGCGCCCAGCCGATTTGGATTTGACCACTAGTTATACTGGGTTGAAGTGTGCCCCCTGAATTCATGTCCTCTCCAAACCTCAGAATATGACCGTATTTGGAAAGAGGGTCTTTGCAGATGTAATCGGTTAAGATGAGGTCACACTGGGTCAAGGTGGCCCCTAAATCCAGACTGGTGTCCACATACGACAGACACATAGGCCGGGCGTGGTGACTCATGCCTGTAATCCCAGCACTTGGGGAGGCTGAGGCAGGTGGATCACCTGAGGTCAGGAGTTCAAGACCAGCCTGGCCAACATGGTGAAACCCTGTCTCTACTAAAAATACAAAAATTAGCCAGGCATGGTGGCAGGCGCCTGTAATCTCACCTACTAGGGAGGCTGAGGCAGGTGAATCGCTTGAACCCAGGAGGTGGAGGTTGCAGTGAGCCAAGATCATGCCATTGCACTCCAGCCTGGGCAACAAGAGCGAAACTCCACCTCAAAAAAAAAAAAAAAAAAAAAAAAAAAAAAAGACACAGAGGGAAGAATGCCATGTGAACACAGGCAGAGACCAGAGCGACACATCTACGAGCCTAAGGGATGCAAGGACTGCCAGCAGTCACCAGGAGTCTCAGTAAGGATTCTCCCTCTCTCAGATCCTCCCGAAGGAGCCGACCCTGCCACCAATAACTTTGGAACAGAATAAACGTGTTACTTTAAGCTAGCATGCTTGTAGCAATTAGTTATAGCAGTCTCAGGAAAACAAATACACCAATCAAGAATTTTTTCCTTGGCTGGACGTGGTGGCTCACACCTGTAATCCCAGCACTTTGGGAGGCTGAGGTGGGCGGATCACTTGAGGTCAGGAGTCGAGACCAGCCTGGCCAAGATGGCAAAACCCCATCTCTACTAAAAATACAAAAATTAACTGGGCGTGGTGGTGGGTGCCTGTAGTCCCAGCTACTCAGGAGGCTGAGGCAGGAGAATCGCTTGAACCCGGGAGGCAGAAGTTGCAGTGAGCCGAGATCACGCCACTGCACTACAGCCTGGGCAACTGAGACTCTGTCTCAAAAAAAAAAAATTTTTTTTTCTTTCACTGGCCTTTTGTGTTGTGGTCTGGGTCAGTTTCTGTAAATGGACAGTTCTGGTCAAAGGTTTTGCCAACCTTCCTTCCTGGCCCCACTTCAAGGTCTCTGCCCGTAAGAGGATGTAGGAAATTGACCTCCAGAATGTCTCTTCCCAACTTCAGGCTCACAGAAAACATGCCCGCCAGAATGTTCCGCTCCTCAGAGGGTCCCAGGTATTCTACCTTCAGCCTGTATTTTTCTCCCACACACTCCCCACCCCTGTTCAAACTATTGCCACCTTCCAAGACCCCTGTGATCCCTCCACCCTCTGCACACTTTCTCTCTCCGGCCTGCCCCAGGCCCTCTACCCAGCAGCCTGAGGGACCATCCTTCTCAGGTGACAGATCAAATTGTCACTCCAGTGATCTGCCCAGCGGGGTCACCACTGCAGCCATAGCAGCTCGCAGCAGGTCCTCGCCAATTCCCTCACCAGGGACATGAGATGCGTTCTGGAAGGCACCCAAGAGGAAAAACAGACAAAGGTCCTTTGCAATTATGTAAGAGAACAGGAACTGAGATAAAAGAGTCAAGACCTCCAGTGACTTCACAATCAAGTCCCAATGGTCAGGCCCAACCTGCTGACTGTGGGGGAAGAGTTGGTGGCATGTGCGCAGAACAAAACACACATCAACTCCTGGAGGAAAAAAAAAAAGAAAAAAAAAGAAAAAAAAACCTTTTAATTCTAACGGACCAAACTGTGCCCAGGAATGTCTCCAAACAATGGAACCAAAAGAAACACGATAAAATTCTCCTGCTAAAGAAACCAAGAGTTTGTGCCAGCCCCAGTGCTTCTGAGGGTTAGGCCAAAAA